AGCCTCGATGCCTAGCACAATGTCGACTTCCTTGGACGTGAAGAATGCAGGATCCGCTAGCTCAAATCCATTCGGTAGAATCCACCCTTCCGTGTTGATTGAGGTTGTAGGGAGATTCGCTGTCATCTTGGGTAGCACCAAAAACCTCATATCTCGCGAGAAATCCGAGATTCGCGAACGTATGACCGCTTGGACTGTATGTTTGACCTTGGTAGCCCCTTGTCTTATACCAAGGACCGAGACGTTGACCTTATTCCTGATTATCTTCATCCTTTGGGTTAAACGTTCCGATACGAAGTTGCTCTCTGAACCGGAATAAAGAAGAGCACGGGCGTGGTACCTTGAACCAACGTCGTCCTCGACGATGACTACCGCTGTCGCTAAAAGGACTTGCGACGTGAGTTGATTAGACGTACCGCATACCGAAACGTCAGTGGCTGCCACGTTAGCCAGTTGGATTGAGTTGGTACCTGAGGAGCCTTGGGATTCCTTGGAATTTGAAGGATGATTGCCCCCAGCAATCGCTGCGACCGAGGTACAATCGCGTCATCTGCCGTTAAAAGGTTAATGCTTGAACGAATTTGATAGCAAAGATTTATTTATTTATTTATTTATTTATGTCGTCAATCAATCGTAGACCAGTACATCTTCAGAAGAAAGGTTTGTGTGTTTGCTCATGATATGAAGTCTTTGATATTATCTTAACACGACCGTGGCGATCCAAAGAGAAAGTAGATGAAGAGAATCGATCAATGAAGATAGGATCTACAGTGGCGGCCTTTAAATTAGCACAATTGGCCGATTTTCATACTAGCCAACTTTGGCATGATGCAACTATGTTTTGTTATGATCAATTAAGCTAAATTTTGACACAGAACTACAATTATGCCTAATTTTGCGTGTATGTAATCTTAAATTATTGGAAGCGCTTGCCGGAAATTGACCGACTGGTAGAAAATGGCCAAAAATTATCCCAATTAAAATTCTAAATTTCCTAAGTGTTATAGTTTTAAAACTTTCAACCATTTTGCCAATAAACGACGGCGTGCTTAAGAAAGTTATTTAAGGTGATTCCTTGTAGAGTCCATTTTCGATTACACACATCTCGGAAATTAGAGTTCCATTTCAACTGAAATTACTACTGCATGTATGCTGCAGCGCAGCAAACGTGGAGTAACAGTTTCATTGTAGTACGTGTCGTGGAAGCTGATATTTGTGCACTTAAAGTTTCGAAGTGGTAGCGAGAATAAGAATCTCACAGCGAACCACCTTAAGGATTAACATTTAATAAAGATGTTCGAAAATATGGATTGAATGGCGTAATAGTTGATGGAGCTTACTGCTATTATAATCGCTCGTATACTGCGCAATAATGGCTCGAAATTATCATCAACCTGTTCTTCAAGCTTCCGCTCTTAAGCCTGAAGCTTAAAAAATTACCTTGCTGCAAACAAATTCCGAAACGGTGCCCGTTGGCATTGAACCAGGAGGATGTTTTATTTCAAACGCAAATGTGGTTTCCCATCCAATTCAACCAAAAAATCCAGCCGGAAAAAAAAGTTAGCAAACAATCCAATTGAAAACTATTCGAGAGAAGGTGAAGATGAATATAGGGATTGTGGAATTTGAAAAAGTTTTTAACTTTGTTTCGCTTTCTCTCCCAGTCATCGTCGCAACACAAACACGAAATCTGCTGCCACCAGCTGGCATTCCGTTCCGAGTTATACTTGGATTGATGTTTGTTTGGTTTGTTTTAGTTACCGGGAAAATTGATTATCCTTATAGCATTGAATTGCTTTTCATGTGGTGGCTGAAGACCGGGGCGAATATTCCGTTACTGTTGCTTGGGGTAAGTGAATTGCAGAATGCCTTTACTGTGCAAGGAAGAATATTCAATTACGGCTTTGTGAAGGGCAATTGTAGTGCTGGTTTAGTTCCAACCAGTGCAAGGCTCGAAATTAATCCCAATCCGTATCATTTAGAAGCACTGGTGTTAACTTCGGATTGAACCTGAATAGTAATCTGATAGCACAGGGCTCGTACAGAGTTGGTATGCAAGGTGATGGGTCATTGGGCCGAACGCCATAAGGCCGAATAAGTTATGATAACGGAGTTGCACTCTCACTTTAAATTTTCTAGAGTACACATCTCTGGAAACCCTATGTTTATTCTATTAACTGTTCTGCCAGAACACGGTTAGCGATTTTCAAACCTGTTGTTTTTTTTGTTTTTCTTTCAACAGTTAATTAAGGAATTCCAGTAACTTACCGCCAGCCATAGCGATTTTCTTTCTAGGATTCATTCACATATAGTGCTTTCAAGTATCACTTAGAAAATTTGGAAAATATTTCAAGTATCTAACACGTGCGATGTTTCCCTTTTTATACAGCAGAACGAACTAAAGTGATTACGTATTGTGTTCTCTTTCTAGTACACTGGAGTCGCTTTTTACGCGGGTGATACGTCCCGCGTAAAAAAAAACCGCGTAAAAAAAAACCGCGTAAATTCCGGAATCCGCGTAAAAAAAAACCGCGTAAATTCCGAAATCCGCGTAAAAAAAAACCGAGTAAAAAAAGACCGTGTAAGAAAAAACCGCGTAAAAAGCGATATACCGCGTAAATTCTGAAATCCGCGTAAAAAAAAACCAAAATCCGCGTAAAAAAAAACCGCGTAAATTCCGGAATCCGCGTAAAAAAAAAACCGCGTAAATTCCGAAATCCGCGTAAAAAAAAACCGCGTAAAAAAAAACCGCGTAAAAAAAAACCGCGTAAATTCCGGAATCCGCGTAAAAAAAACCGCGTAAATTCCGAAATCCGCGTAAAAAAAACCGCGTAAAAAAAAACCGTGTAAAAAAAAACCGCGTAAAAAGCGACTCCAGTGTACTCGTTTTGAGCACGTGGCTAATCAAAGAAGGCTTTGCCGTTGCGTAGCGCACGTGAAATGAATCAATTTTGCTTGACGGTTTCAAAGATACCATAGCTTGCTATTATCACTGCTTTATATGGACGCTAAGATTCAAATATACTGTGAAATGCTTTGGAATAATCTGTCAAAACCTCACCGAAAAATCATTTTTTCACAATTATCTTTCCATACATTGATTTCTCGCAAAAACTTTGTTCTAAACACTTTTAGAAATTTTGAAGGCGCACATTTTTGCCGAACCAATTAAGATACTATCTCCTTTATTTGAAGAGTGTTGGGGAGCGCACTTACCGTGCTGGATTCTTCAGCCGTAGGTAGCCTTGATGTTTACGAACGGCGACAGGTGCACTATTGGGAGAGCCTTTGGGGTTTTTTGACGACGGCGAAGGACACAAAGGAAAGACACACTGCACTCGAATGCAAACTAAACTTTATTCTCCTCTTCGTGTCTCGGCTATCGTGCTGCCTGTGGCGCATCGTGTAGAGTGTAGTGGTTCACATCGATTGTTGTGTGTAGTGGTATACAAGGTAAGTAGTTCAAGTAGGTAGGTATAATTCAATGATGGGTAAGTATAGTGTTTATAAATTTTGTTCTTGTAATTTAATCGAATTCACAAAATAATCATTTTACTTCTCATTCCAGGTTCTAGGTTAACAGCATCATCAACACGGCGGCCACCGTTGAAATGCCCTATTTCAACTATCTACGACGACTTGCTTAACGATCCGGCTGAATCGTCTTCCTCGCTTACCGCTGATTTGGTTTCATCGATTGGGAGCAGGTAAACCTCGGTGACTGCTCTCTTGTAGACACCTTTGGCTGTACGGACTAGAACAACCCGTACGTGTCCATCTTCACCTGGTGATATACTGACTACACGGCCTAAATTCCACTCCAGTGGTGGAAGGTTCTCCTGCTTCAATAGGACTAGCGATCCCACCTTGACTTTCTTTCGAACACATTGCCACTTGGAGCGTTGATGTAGTTCACTGATGTAGTCACGAGACCAGCGTTTCCAGAAATCTTGAACGCTGCGTTTCATTTCCTGGAAGCGATTGAGCCGACTGATGGGTTGCTCGGTGTAATCGGGCTCTGGGATCGAGTACAGTGGTTCTCCCACTAGGAAGTGGCCCGGAGTGAGACTGGTAAGGTCTTGTGGATGGCTGGACATAGGTGACAGTGGTCGAGAATTTAGGACGCTCTCGATTTGAGCAACCGCTGTAGTCAACTCTTCCAACGTGAACGATCTGTTTCCTAGGACTCTTGGAAGGTGGTGCTTGAATGATTTAACCCCTGCCTCCCACAGGCCTCCGTGGTGAGGGGATCGAGGAGGGATGAAGTGAAAGTTGATACCGCTCTCCAGGCAATATCCGTTCCACCATTCCGTAGATAACTGCTGAATGTACTGCCGACGCAGCTGTTTCAGCTCCCGATCTGCGCCGACGAAAGCCGTTGAGTTGTCGCAGTAGAGGGTCCCGACGCGACCGCGACGCGCGACGAATCGTTTTACCGCATTGATACACGCGACGGACGTTAGATTACTCACGACTTCGAGGTGTACCGCCTTCACCACCATACAAACGAACACGGCGACGTATATCTTTACGTTTGCTCCTCTCCCAACTAACGGACGGACACTGAACGGCCCACAGTAGTCCATGTCACTATTTGAAAACACTCTAGCAGGAGTAATTCCCACCGAAGGCAGAGGTGCCATGAACTGCTCAGTTGGTTTTGGGGAACATCGAAAACAAGTGATGCACCGATGAACTACTCTGTGCACGAGATCTCGTCCGCGAAGTGGCCAGAACCTTTGTCTGATGGTCGAAAGTAACAGCGTTGGTCCTCCGTGCAGCGTTCTGAGATGGAGCGAGCGAGCGATCAACCAGGACAGCTGATTGTCAGCGACCTCATCGCCACCATAACCGATCATCGATTATCTGGGATGGCAAAATACCACTGGATATGCGGTCAGCGGAATTCTCCTTCGAAGGAACATGTCGCCAGCAACCGTTTTTGGTTAGCTTTTGGATTTCCGCTATTCTGTTTGAAACGAACACCTTCCTAACTGGATTCAGTGCAGAACGTTGCTGGAATCGGACCAGAAGATTGCTGTTCCCGAGAAGTTTGTGGTTGTTCTAACTTTTTCCATCAGCTGGCTGCCGAAGAGGGCTGCGCAAAGGTCAAGTTTTGGAATAGTGAGTCCACGTAGAGGTGCAACGCGGGACTTAGCGATGAGTAGTTGGCATTGGTACAACCCTTTTCCATTCGGCGAAACTACGTAGACACACGATCCATATCCGTGGTCGGAAGCATCACAGAAGCAATGGAGAGCGTAATGGTTGTTCGTGTTTGCTAGAACGCGTCGGGGAACCTTCAGCATCGACAGTTCAGGGATCTCACCACGGAAACGTATCCACCAGACCCGGCTTTCGGGAAGTTCCTCGTCCCAAGGATTGTGTATCGCCCACAGCCTTTGGATGAACATCTTCGCACTCATAACTACGGATCCGACTAATCCGAGTGGGTCGAATAACTGCGCCATCTCAGAGGCCACTATCCGCTTGGTGACCTTCTCCAGTGGCGGTAGGGTGCTCCATTTTCTCAAATTGAATCCAGCCAGCTTCAGGAGCTCCGCTAGCTGCTTGCTCGCCTCGATGGCGACCTCCAAATCGTCCTCGCCAGACAGTGCGTCGTCCATGTAGAATCCGCTGAGGATAACTTTCGCACCTAGAGGAATCGCGACGGGAACGAACTAACCGGCGACGGGGAGGAAGCTACGACAACCGAATACGAATACGTGTTTACCGAACCGGGTTCGACATGCGAAGATATCGGACGCGATGGTGGTGAAGCATACGATTGCGTTTCGATTGCGGACGAATTCAATTGGTCTTGCTCGGAAGGAAACACCTCACTGGATACCGTAGAGCATGCCAATGCTGTTTGACCGGCGGATTTCACAGCTACGGTTGGCGACGACCAATGCAGAAGAGTGTGGTGCTTCTTCGAGCAATTCCTGCAGCTACCACTGCTACAGTTTTTCGCCAGCTGTGATCCCTTCAGGCAATTGATGCACAATCCATGCTTCTTCACCAGCTCAAAGCGTTGCTTCGCCTCCATTCCGATAAACTGATCGCATTTGAAGAGTGGGTGTGCTTGCTTGCAAAGAGAACATTTGCTTGTTATCTCTGTTGCAATGTGAGTGGAAATCGGTTTGGGTTTTGTAGGCCTTGATTCGAAAGGTGTATTTGAAGGCTGCAGCAGCTTGACAGACTGCAGCACTCGCGACGTTTTCCGCACAAATTCTACCAGTTTCTGGTAGGTAGGACGTTCTTCTCCCTCACATGAGTTTTCCCACTCTTTGAGCGTGCTAGAATCGAGCCGTTTGCTCAGGGTCTCAACAAGCACCGTGTTCCACAGATTAACCGGGTTGTCCAGCTTTTCTAAAATGCCCACATGATGATCAAATTCATCGACGAGGTCGTATAATGTCGACGACGAAGCCCTTTTCACACAAGGAATTGCGAAAAGGGCAGCGAAATGATGTTTCCGTAGGAGGTTAGGATTATCGTATCGCTCACAAACCGATTTCCATGCGATCGGATAGTTATCGGAATTTACTTCCAGATTGGCGACCATGCGAGCAGCTTCACCCTTGAGAGCCCCCTTCAGATAGTGCATCTTCTGCACCGACGAAAGATGAGCGCTTGCATGGATCATGGGCCGAAAAATGTCCCGAAAGACAATCCAGTTGGATGAATTGCCGCAAAACTCGGGGATGTTGATTTCCGGCAACCGCACAGAATGCATTGGTTGCACCGGAGGACGACGATCGTTCGAAGTAGAGGGTTGAGGGATTACCGGCAACTTGCTGACGAGACGCCTTCAGCTCGAAGTACAAATTCTGACCATTGTGACCTTCGAGCTCTTCGATCTCGTCCTGGACCCGTGCAAAATCTTTTTTGACCCTCTTGATATTGATCGTTGAAGTGTTTGATCAACGCGGCAGAGCCAAGAATGGTTGCTCTTTGCCGCAAATACGTTTTTAATTTTGCAGCCGTAGAACGTGCCTCACGTTTCTTCGGTGATGTCATCTTTATTGGCAACAATGAAACAAAATCGCACCCACCTGGTATCGATGAATGAGGTTACCTCTACCGGCCTATACCCGTTCGCTATGGAGGATTCCGAACTTCGTCCCAGAATCCGGAGTATCGTGATGCCGAGAAGAATGGTAGGCGATCTTCGATGGTTTGATCCGCCTGGAGGGCCAATTCACCACGATGAATCCGAAACAATGGATACCACAAGCCACGCGGTACCGGCGACGATGACAATGGCGTACCTTCCAGAAGTTTCTGCAACACTTGCTCTCGGGTTTCGGCACCATAAACTGTTGGGGAGCGCACTTACCGTGCTGGATTCTTCAGCCGTAGGTAGCCTTGATGTTTACGAACGGCGACAGCTGCACTATTGGGAGAGCCTTTGGGGTTTTTTGACGACGGCGAAGGACACAAAGGAAAGACACACTGCACTCGAATGCAAACTAAACTTTATTCTCCTCTTCGTGTCTCGGCTATCGTGCTGCCTGTGGCGCATCGTGTAGAGTGTAGTGGTTCACATCGATTGTTGTGTGTAGTGGTATACAAGGTAAGTAGTTCAAGTAGGTAGGTATAATTCAAGGATGGGTAAGTATAGTGTTTATAAATTTTGTTCTTGTAATTTAATCGAATTCACAAAATAATCATTTTACTTCTCATTTCAGGTTCTAGGTTAACAGCATCATCAACAATGAGGTATGGCAGTTTTTTGCATAAAAATATGATTTTTTTTTAAATTAAATTAAATGTTTTAAAAAAATCGCTCTCGCAGATTTCCCATCATAAATGAAAAAAACAATGATCTTTCAAATGGAATTAAAATCTTGCAAATTGTTTTGCTCCTTTTAGAGATATTGACAATTAAAAAATGCCAGTTTTTTGAAGAAAATCGTCTTTGACTTTCCTATTGAAAAAGATAGCAACTTAGTTGCTTCAGCAAAAATATTTGCCATGTCAAGAACATTTGTTTTACGAGAAATGAACGTATGAAAAGATATTCATAGTAAAACAATTTTTCAGGGGCCACCCTAACTTGCTTGTTTAAAAAAATCATAACTCATGAACCATAAGAGATGGAAGTTTGATGGCTTGAGCAAAGGTACTGCAAATTGATTCTTCTGCAATTTTCTAGAACATTACACTGGTATATCTCACATGATAAAAAAGTTCACATATTCAATTCACCAATTTTATGGACCACCCTAATTTCACTAACTTAAAAAATTGGCCAAAAATATGAAGAAACTTTCCGCAAGACATCATATGCCTAACATCAACGGTTTTAGCGCAAACATTTTTGTCTTCCTAAATACGGCTTTGGGACCATTGTGCATTGTGCCGAAAGTAGATTCGTTACAGCTTGGGCACATCCATCGGCACACCTTCGGCACAATCTTGTAGGCATTGTATTGTTGTAAATAAAATGGGAGCACTGCTGAATAACTATCATTGAAGTTGTTCACAACATTACGAGCTGTTTTTGACTGTATATTCAGGACCATCCTCTAATTTAATATACCAGAGAAATTCAGACCAGCAGTTCGCTTTTAGATCTAAATACGAAATGTAGGTTCTAGAGTGGGCTCAAGAGAAAGAGGCAGTTATTAAGGCCCCATTGGCACCCTTAGTTTAAATAATGATGCAACTCACACAAAACAAACTACAGAAGTCTATTCATCATCCTCTATAGTTGGTCTCCAACAATGTTCTCCACCGGTTCCAACTCTTTCCGGTCGGTCCTTTCATATCACGAAAGGCTAGGTTTCTGGTCTGCCTTTGAGGGCATTATAGAAGACTAAAACATAGGACTTTTATTATCTTATGAGCACCAAAATTTCGTAGACCCGCCACACCCGCGTCATCCTAAATTCGATTTATCCTTGCGATTTCAAACCAAAACTTTCAAGGTGTCAGAAAAACCGGGTTGCCGGGATAGATATTTTTCCAGCAATCACAGCTTGCTCTATGACCGGCACAATTGGCACACCTGAGGCACACTGACAAAAATATGACCCAAGATAGGTGTGCGGAGTGACCTACCCTTTGATAAAAATACACTATTAGCTTATCAGAGCCAATAATGATAATGAATAAATACGGTGCCTACCTTGGTACGTACGATCATAGAAAAAAGAACGTTTCAGTTCCTTGACGAGATTCAAGGCCAACGATTTGCACCACGGGAGCGAAACTCGAAGCGAATTTGTACTTAGTAAATAAACAGCTGTCAGAATCATCCTTACATAAGCACGCTTCAGGACAGAAATGGTGGACTGAGATTCCCAAGCAGTCCGACTTGGAGAACCAAGTCAAACCAAACAACGAAAACTACAACAACGAACGAAACGTGAGAAAATTCTTTAGACCAGTGCACTAATTGAACGGGAAATTCAAACCTAACAATCAACACAATTATTTAGCAGAATAGAAAAACATTTATTTAGATAAAGACTAATAGAACGAAAATTTTATTATCTAAACATTTTTATCCGGGAACCCTTATTTCTTCTCTCTCTCTCTCTCTCTCTCTCTCTCTCTCTCTCTCTCTCTCTCTCTCTCTCTCTCTCTCTCTCTCTCTCTCTCTCTCTCTCTCTCTCTCTCTCTCTCTCTCTCTCTCTCTCTCTCTCTCTCTCTCTCTCTCTCTCTCTCTCTCTCTCTCTCTCTCTCTCTCTCTCTCTCTCTCTCTCTCTCTCTCTTTCTCTCTCTCTCTCTCTCTCTCTCTCTCTCTCTCTCTCTCTCTCTCTCTCTCACTCTCTCTCTCTCTCTCTCTCTAATTCCCTGTCTACCTGTCTGACTGATCCACTTACTGCTTTTCGTGGTGATGTCCCGGTGGGTGGGAAAAATGCACACCTGGACCGCGATATTGACGGCGCAGCTCCCTTCTAACTCCGTCCGAAGTTAGGTCCTTTAAAACCGACGCGTGGGGTCAGGCTTGTGGTAATAACGGGGGGCACGGTATGCCGAGCGGGAGGTGGTGGGACGAAACTAGAGACAAACAGCCGTCAAACGGCTGCACAACTGGATGAGCGCATTGTTGCAAAACCGCATAGTACATCATTTACCTTTTTGTTCAAACTTAAATCGCGCACACACTACCTTACTAAACTTATTCAGTAGTAACTACACCTAATCAAAAGGAATTAACGAACAATTAATTACACTGAACATAAAGAAGTGTCATTTAAATATACCTCTACAAACACACCGCGAAACTATACCAAAAAACTTCACAGTCCTGCCTCTTCCACGGGTTGGATTAAAGTGGACGAGAAAGATCTTGGGATTCCTCAGAAAGGCCGCTAAAACAATTCTTGGCCTTCGTTCCGGAAACCGAAAAAACGATCTTATCAAAAGGCGATCTCCGATTACCTTCCGATACTATCTCTTTTCCTCCCAAGTATCCCACATCTGTCTAGCTCATTCCAATCTTTAACTTAAAGTGTTTTTCTTATTATTAAATTTCCGACGACAAGTAATCCTACTGGGAGATTATACTCAATCCCGCGGATCAAATTTCATGCCACCTCAAATGAGAAAACTTACGCGCCTAGTGAGCGGATGAACAAGTAATGAGTGAAATTTCATGCAGGGATAATTT